CGCGGACGTGGCGACCTGTACAAGACAGGGGCTGTGTGTGTGTGTGTGTGTGTGTGTGTGTGTGTGTGTGTGTGTGTGTGTGTGTGTGTGTGTGTGTGTGTGTGTGTGTGTGTGTGTGTGTCCCCCTATCCCCATCTGCTCTTGGTGTGGGGACAGTGAGGAGAGTATGCCGAGCCAGTCAGTGCAAGGAGGCAGGAGATGCGTCACCAAGGTGGGCTCGGCTGTGGCGACGGACAGCTGCTGCCTTGCTGTTGACAATGGGCAACATGCTTGTGGGGGCGGCAAGCAGTGTGTGTGTGTTGCATGGTATGTGGAGGGAATAGCCTATGCGTGCTAGGCCATCCATTGTGGCCTCTCCCTGCCTTCTATGGGAAGGCTGTCGAAGAGAGGCCCCCCCACCTCCCGGCTCATCCTCTCCTGGGATGATTGCAAACAGGTGTATGCCGGAGAGGCTGGAGCAGAGAAGATGTGCTGGCGGGCAGAAGGCTAGCTTTGGCTGAGTACTGGCTGGGTTGCTTTGCCTGGCCGGCGGCGGGGGGCGTGTGGCAGGAGGGCCCACGTGGGGCTTCCGGGCTGACATTCTACTCCTGCATCACGCGGAGTTGTGCTGAGGCATTGAGGAAGCTGCAGCCTGACCGGAGCTGGGAATTGGGCGTTGTTTCCTTTTCCCTTTGAAACCCAGCCATCACTCCTCCTGGGAGACAGAAAGCCCCGGAAGGGCAGAGCAGTGGGGGGACAAGAGAGAGGGGGGGGGAAGGGAATGGGCTGTGTGCATGCTCCCCTTCTCCTTTTGTTGTGGGAAGGAGGCTGTGGCATTTCAGTTGGTCCTGGCCAACTGGGCGAATTAATGAGGGCATCAAACCACACCGCACTGGGATTCTTTGGGAGTTGCTTTTCAGACAGGCAGCTGTTTTAGTCCTTTTCCAAAGAGAAAAGTAAAAAAGTACACCCAAGTGCTGTGGTACCTATCTTTGTCTTAAGGTGACTGGAATACTTTGGTTTTGCTGTATGTTTGCTTGGTTTCTCCCACACTTTCTAGCAGTTGGCAGATGAGTTCAACCGTGATGGGCTTAACAGATATGACTGGAGTAAAGCTCCCATCCATCTGTGCTGTGTTGGCTGGTGAGGGCAAACTAATGTCTGCCCCCCCCTCAACAGTCTGAGGGACAATGAAAAAATGGCATAGGACCCCTGTCCTATGGCATTTTTCCAATGAAAATTCTTGAAGTTGCTTTTTGCTCTATAGGAAAAAAAATTATAGATCTTATGTCTGGTGAAAGACATCCTGGAAATGTTTCCCTAAAACCCCAAATAAAGCCAGAACCTAGGATTTACTGTCATCAGGAAATTCATCTCTTCTCTTTTATCAGTGACATATCGTCTATGTGTTTGTACACTGGAATTTCTAGAGATTTAACAAGACTCCAAAAGTTAAGATGGTCCAATCCCATCTCATTGATCTCTGAGCTCATCTATCTCATTGTATGTTTGCTTTAAGCAATAACAGAGAAGAAATGCACAGATAGTAAAAACTATCCTGCAAGTCATCACAGTTTTATAAATACTATCAGAAAAAACAAAGCAAATAGAATGCAGTTAATATAAACTTATCAAAAATGTGCTTTAAGGTATTTCAGCAGTGGTACTTTTTTTTTTTTACATTACACTGATCCACCACTGTAGCTACAAATAAGAGTATGATGATAGCAAAGGTATGTAGTATAGACAAGCACAACAAGGAGTCTCACCATACCTTAAAGACTAATAAGCTTTTGTGGTCTTTTCAAATACATGTTGATGCCAAATCATCTTTTGACAATATCTAGTTACTTTTTTCTGAAATAGAATAATGGCTGGAATTGTACTGGTGTTTCGAAAGGTTTGCCATGACTAACTGCAAATACGCAGTGAGGTGTTGGGCTAGATCCTAGTTGCACAACTGGATGCATGGCCAGGCACATGAACAAGAAACACTTCAGCATCTCATTGATTAGCCATAATTAGCAACAGCAAATTACACAAACTTTATCATTACCTACAGCAGGGTTCCCCAACCCGTAGTGCACGGTCATGGCAGGACCGGGCTGCGGAGACAGATCTCCTGCTCCCCGCATGCACC